TTCTGTCACTAGAGCTACTACTACTAAAATTACATTCCATGCATTCAGTTTTAGTTCTACTCAAATGAAGGCCTTTAGACCTAAAGTAGACCTCCATAATTCAAGTTTTTCCAGAACTTTTTCTCTCGTCTTATCCACGGGAAGGATATCATCAGCAAAAAGCATACACTAAGGTACATCATTCTGTAAGTGTACAATATGACTATCCATAACTAAAGTAAAAAGATATGGGCTTAAAGTCGATCCTTGATGTAAACCAACAGAAATAAGAAAATATTTGATAAATCCTTCTTTTGTGCAAACACAAGTAACAAATTTTTTATGCATTTCTTTAATGACTTGAATATAAGTCATGTCAACACCTTTCTTCTCAACTCTCCAAAGGATATCACTTGGAACCTTATCGTAAGCTTTTTCTAAATCAATAAAAATCATATGTAGATCCTCCTTATTATCTTTGAACTTCTCCATCAAACCTCTCAATAAATGTATAGCTTCTATAGTAGAATTGTTAGATATAAATTCAAATTGATTATGAGAAATTTATAACAAGTCTTAAACTATGTTTAGTTACCATCTCCCATAATTTTAAAGTCTAACACATCAACTTAATTCCTCTATAATTTGCACACTCATGTGCATCCCCTTTATTCTTAAAAATGGGGAACAAAATACTCTTCTTTCACTCTTCAGTCATCTTTTTAGTTTTTAAAATAATATTAAAGAGTTTAGTAATCTAAGAAACTCCCAAATCTCCTAAATATTTCCACACATCAATTGAGATATCATTAGGCCCTGCAGACTTTCCACTCTTGGTTTTCTTTAAAGCCTCCTCAACTTCCTTCTTACTAATGAGATGGTAATGATGAAATATTTTATTTTTATTAACGATATTAAGATCACAATGGTCGATCTTATTTTCCAGAACATTAAAAATTTTATCAGAATAACTCACGCACCTATTTTGAATATCTTTTTCTAAGAAAAACACTTTTTAATTTTCATATTCAATACATTTTACTTGAGTTGAATCTTTACTTTTATTTTCTCTTTGTTTGGCTAGTTTATACATATTTTTCACCCTTTTTAATATCTAATATATTATAAATATCACTAAAAATATAATTTTTAGCGACACAGATTGTTCTCATAAACTTCCAACGAGCCGTTTAATATTTTTTCCCAGTTGTCTAAGTTTTTACATTTAAACAATTTTTATAGCATACCTTCCTATATTTTTATCTTTTATTGCATGTTATTATTCCACCAACAACTATTTTTTATTTATATAATATTTTTCTTTTGATTCTTCAAGTACTACTTTTGTCACTTGTTTAATAGTTTTTAGTACTTTTATCCCAAATAAAATTTTCTTCTTCATAAACATCCCAAATTTTGAAATCTTGAATTTTATTCATAAAAATAAATTTATTTTTGTTATTTAGGTACCCCCATCTAGAGAGAGACACACACATAAGAATTGTTGGGGCGCATCTAGTCCAAAATGTTGCAGTGAAATGCCGCTTTTTGGTAGCACATTTAAGATAGAGAAATAGACATCATTCTTTTATAACTGCATTTGCAAATATATATTATAAATTAAACCTTTGAATTATTGCTTCCATTAAGCAGCAAAATTAAAGTCTGAAAAACATTCAAATCCAATTGTTCTCCCAATTTCGTCATCGAATATTCAATTTATCAAAGAAACAATATGAAGAAAACATCTCAAGCATGAACAACCACCAACCACCAGCACACATGTTTAAGTCCAACATCCAACACCTAACCAAAGATATCAGCCGAGTGAGAAAACACAAAAAAGAAGAAAGCCAAAAAATCACAAAAAAAGCTATTCCTTCGAAATTCACTACAAGATAGAGTGTGATATTACTCACAGAGCACTCCAAACTTCTCACAACAAAGAAGAAAGCCATATATATATGTACAAAAATCCATTCCATCAAAAATCACCACAAGAAAGGCAACATATTACTTATAGAGTACCACAATCACAGATCACAGAGAGGAGGAAGAGAAAGGCAACAATAGAGAGAGACATGTGGGAGAGGCGCGTGAGAGAAAGCCCTCGTTTAGCAATGGAAGCCACAAGATGAGGGTAGATGAGAGGATCGAACTTAAGGCACGGGATGAGGGAAAGTGCAACGGGAGGGCAGAGAGGTAAGAAAATTCCTCCAAACGTGGGTTGCGGGGTCGAACCCGCAACCAATGTTTATTACAAAACAAAATCATTGTATCACGAAACGCACCGAAGACAGAGAAAATAAACTATATAGCAACATTTTGAAAAAACAAGGGCGGCGGATAAACTGTGCCAAACAGACCCTTTTTAGGGAATAAAAATTACATGGGAACCCTTGAAGATAAGGAATAGAATCTACAAAATCAAAATGAATAAATAATTAAAGGAATGAGAAAACTATCATTTCATATAAACTACATAACCTAAAATGGAATTAAGAAAAAAAAAACGAAAAACTGTTGAATTGAAATTCAGATCGATGACGAACATGGCGAATGACTAACGAATGGTTGGTGAATTGTTGGAAAATGAAGGATGCCTCACTCAAATATTGGGAAGCCAAACTTAGAGAATTCTTTTGATAGGATGTTAGGGGTCTATGATTCATTGTTTAGTATTTGCGATTTTACGGTTTTGCTTTTATGTTTATAACATCTCAACTGTCAGATGGGGACTAAATTGTGCCACACTACAACAATTGGCGGTTCTTTAGATTGGAACCGATTCGATTCAAATCATACGTGTTATCAGTTCACGGTCAAATAGATTCAACCAGTCAATTTGATGAAGTTTTTAAGACCATGTGTTAAAAGAGTGAAATGTGCTCTTATGAATCTAAGCCAAGACAAATGAGTTTGAAGAATGCAAATGAACCGAATTGAGCCGAGCAAGTATTTGTTTGAGATCGAATTCATTTATTGAAAGCATGTTTGATTTTTGGTCAAGCTTGATTCGAGCTTTAGAAATATG